TTTAGACTGTGCTATCCTTGTATTAGGCTACCTACTAAATTTTTTTTTGATTTTATAATCAAAAACAACTCAACCCTATTTCTCCATAAGCCTGTTATTTCTATTACGCTGATTTCTATAAACACGATATTTTACATGAAATACAATTATTTATAGAGAAAAGAATTTAACTGCCTTCCATAAGGATTCAATTCGTTAATCTAACAAAAAATTCGTTAATTAATTCTCACTTAACCAGCCTCAACATAGTTTTCGCTTGCACCGACCGGCCAACCAGTTTTAGTATCAGTCCGCCAATACATTAATCGGTTCTAGGGCTTAAATTCCTTATTATTTTAGTAAATATCAAGAAGTTTATTATTAAATAATTTTAAAGTTTAATATTCAATTCTTAACAATTATTGAACATAATATGAAGGTAAAGTGACTTGTTTAATGCGCTGCACCTCTAACACAGCAAACAGGCGTTAGTCTCTCTGTTTTCACTGGAGGTAACATCTTGCTTAAGACTCTTCCAAACGTTACTTTTTTTCTGTGTTTCAAGCAAATTATTGGTCATTTTGAAATATATTTTACATATTGACAATATATAATGGTTGATTTAAAGAAAATAATCTTGAATTACACCAAGAGAGCTAAATTTTATGGGTGAAATGGCTCCATGGTGCCTTCTTTCTTCCTTCTCCTCCACCCCCATTCTAAATCCCATCATCATCATCATCATCATCCAGGAGCCTTCTACATACACACCTCAAAGAAAGTGAACTTTTCTACCATTTTTGTTGAATTTAGGAAATTTTCGGTGAGCTGGAACCAATTACCCAAAAACCCATTGAAACAATGGTTTCGGTTAACGAACTTTTCGGTTAACGAACGACGTTCTGGAACGGATTGAGTTCGTTAACCGAGGGGTCACTGTAATACAATGTTACGGTACTTTTAATTTACAAGTATTCATTTTTAAAAATACAGAAGACACCAAACAAATACCAGTACTACGGTTATTTGCGTGACTCTCCCGCCAAAAAAGACCAAACAGCTGGTACTCTCTCCCTCAGCCCTACTAAAAATAGGCCAATGACATCTTTCTTGTTTATTCTCTTCCAATTTCTCACTTTAACTGGTATTTTTTACTTCATATGCCTACATCAGATAAACTACAGTAATTGAGGTTAGACACTGTTATAAATTTGATTACCGGGTCCTGGCAGGTGCCGTTAGAACCACCTGACCCTACCAACAGTGTTGCAAGTCAGACAGCATTTTTTTAATCATCCATGTGCACGAGAAAGGATGGATGGATGAAGGCGGCATACAAATATGGCTTAAAAAAGTCTGAACTTTAGACCAGGGGGACTGCGCAAAGAAAAAAGTCTTCTTGTGTGGGATATGTTTCGGTCACATCTTGTTGACAGTGTTACTGCTGGGATTAGGAAGGAAAACACTGATACAGCTGTGATTCCTGGTGGATTAACAAGTCTTGTCCAACCACTGGATGTTTCCATAAACAAACCATTTAAAGATGCGGTAAGAGTGAAGTGGAACAACTGGATGATAGAAGGCGATAAGACATACACAAAGGGAGGCAACATCCAAACTCCATCACTAGCAACATTATGTGAATGGATTGTAGAGGCCTGGGATGCAATCAGACCAGAAATTGTGGTGAAATCTTTTAAGAAATGTGGGATTTCGAATGCTCTTGATGGAACAGAAGATGACTTGTTGTGGGAATCGAACCCTCGACCTACTGGGTGTGACTAGGGAACGCTTACCGGCTAGGCCACAAGGACACTAAAAGCAGTTCTAGACTCTGTTATATTTCACACAAAGCCTGTTCATCGAGCTGATGGCGCCGTGAACCTCATTGGGAAACTGCCCGTGCCTCTTATGTGGTGTCAGTAGCATTTTACCGAATCCAGCTGGAGAAGGAAACAGGTAGCCATCAGCTGATGGCGCCTGCTTCTCAATGAGGTTCACGGGCACACTGTAGCCTGACATGAACAGGCTTTAGGAAATATAACAGATGAACTGCTTTTAGTGTCCTTGTGGCCTAGCCGGTAAGCGTTCCCTAGTCACACCCAGTAGGTCGAGGGTTCGATTCCTTGCTGGTGAGGTTGTTGATTATATATATATACTGTATATATATATATTATATAAGTATATATATATATACGTAACCCCGCTGCATGTTAAGGGTCAGACTGCAAGTATGTATTTATGTATGTGTATATATATATATATATATATATATATATATATATATATATATATATATATATATATATATATATATATATATACATAAACAAAAAAACACGTGTAATACTATAACTTGACCAAAAATAGTGGTGACGAAGAGGGTTGGTAATGATATGGGCAGACCCGGTGTGAACTACTATAAACTTACCAAACATAGTTTGCCTAAACTAAACTAACCTAACCAACCTAACCTAAATCTGGGCCCACTAATACAATAATACCCCCTAAGTCGAAAAGGTGAAAATAATAAATAGAAATTCTACAATGGTTGTCTCTTTCTCTTCTCGGCACCACGAGAACTCTCACTTTTAAGCTTGCCAGCCATTTTAAAGGGAATTACAAACAAAAAATTTTTCAGTACACAAAGAGATCACTAACATCGGGACTCGAAAATACGTAATGTGAAAAAATATTTTATACGACCATGGCCGGCGTAAGTCCGGGTAATCGTAAGTCGAGTAGAGACAGTATAAGTAGGTGTTGACATCTTATAAATATTCACCCTATAATATTAATATTGGTGAATGTATAATTTTGCACCAGTCTTTCTTTCCCTGTTATTAATATGTATTTCGTAATGTTTAGACAATTCTAAGACATTTTTCTTCTATGATATTTCCACTGGAAATTAAGGATAACCGAGATATTAATTTTTCAATATTATTATATTCGCCTAGTCACAAGTGTCGCCATTACTTGTTTACTTTTGGCGGTGGCTGACACCCCCTCACGCATCACTCCAGACCTCAGTCTTCGCTTCTTAAGCTTCTACAGCACATGTGTGGGGGGTGAAGTGGGAGTTTCTTATTGGCTAAAGTGATAGAAGTATTTTTATTGGGCAAGATTTTTTTGTTTTAGCCAATGAACAATGAGTGGGTAGGCCGGGAGCGGAGATTCGAGTTTGAAGAGCCGTGCCGACACTGTGAGAAGGATTATTTTGTGCCAATTGCAGAGTTATACCAGAAAAATAGTGAGGCATATATATATATATATATATATATATATATATATAAAACGGTGTATTACAGAGTATAGTTCTTTGTCCAAAGTGTAATAACCAGTGTACACTGTGTGAAGCACAATATATTGGGCGGTGTCACAATAGTTTAACAGATTAAGGTAACGTGTGGGACCATGAAGAAAGGGGGTCAGGTTAGGTTAGGTTCTGTTGGTTGCTTAGTATTTTATTTATTTATTAAAAAAAGAAAGAAAATCCAACTTTTTCCATTATGAATGTTAGGCTCTAAAAATATATATACTGTATACAGTATATATTCCGGAGAAGATGGATATTAAATTCGTTGGATACTCATCAAAAACCATAGAAAAAACCTATTTTTAATATAAAAATAAAGACCGATGTGATACTATACACTGACCTTAATATTTACCAGGGAGTATAAAGCACAAGATAGACTTGAGTTAACCTGTCGTGCTCAGTCTTCAGTGTGAGGGTCACATCTACCCATTTTTTTACTTTTAACCTCTTCATCACTGATCGGCTCGTTAGCCGCTTGGGTGATCGGTCACGTCTCTGTTACACACTGTTGGCAAGTACTGGGCATGCACCGGCTCCTGAATGTACCTGAACCTGCTCCAGTGTTGATCAAGTCTTGTCTTGAAAGAGCTCACACTCGGTGCCGTCACAACACTTTCTGGTAGATTGTTCCAAGAGTTCACAACTCTCACTCCAAAAAAGTATGCCCTCACAGTTTTCTGGACTTGCGGCTTCTTCAATCTTGAGCTGTGACCCCTTGTGAGGCGAGCGTCCGCCAGCTCCAAGTAAGGACACTCAACCGAGTAGTGCGCCCTGAGACGGTCCGACTAATTACCCAAATGTAGCCACAATGAAGTCAAATAATGGTCCTACATGAATAAATCGGACTGCCAATCACTTCTCGACTAGTATTTGGTGTCACAAAGTCACAAAAAATTGGAAAACTTACTTTAATCTGAGTTAATAGATCGCGTGCATATACCGAGGGAGAGAGTAATTACCCAAATGTAGCCACAATGAAGGCATATGATGGTCCTACAAGTGTAAATCATGCTGTGAATCACTTCTCGGTTATTATTTGGTGTCAAGAAGTCAAAAAAAATTGGTAAACTTAATTTAATCTGATTTGTGTTAGGTTAGGTTAGGTTAGGTACATGCACTCGATCTATTAATTCAGATTAAATTAAGTTTACCAATTTTTTGTGACTTCGTGACACCAAATACCAGTCGAGAAGTGATTGGCAGTCCGATTTATTCATGTAGGACCATTATTTGACTTCATTGCGACTACATTTGGGTACATTTGGGTAATTAGTCGGACCCCCCTAAGATGCTTATACACCTCAACTAGGTCCTCCCTTGCCCGTCTGTAGTATAAGCTAGGCAAGTTCAGACGCTCCAATCTCTCAGGGTAGCCGAGGTGACGAAGTGCAGACACCAGTTTGGTGGCCCTCCTTTGAACATTTTCAACCAACTGACAGTCCCTAACATATCTCGGGGACCAGACGGGGGTTCTAAATATTACTTACTTCAAATCCAGGCTGAACAAGCATTGGCACATGTTGAGGTACATTAAGGGGATTGTACTGTTGTACATGATCCTGTACCCTAAGTACTTACCAAGAGTGAGAGGCAATACACAAACCGAAGTACAGACATCATGTGTATAAAAATAAACGAAACAAATGCTCTTCTGTATGGTTAAAACTGCACTAGTAATGTTCTATGATGATTTACATACCTGTGGAGGGCGTTGACGAGGAGTAACAAGAGCTGTGTAGACGGGAGACAAAGACAGCAGGCAGCAACACGCTTTGGCTTCCCGCACAGTGACGTAACTCTCTTGTTATGAAAACATTGGCGGGCTCACCATGTGTTGCCTCACCTCATCTCACCGCCCAAAATACCACCTGTTATTACGTATATATCGGACTTATTTATTTAGTTAAATAGCCATATAAATTCCCGTTGATTCATCAAGTATATATATATATATATATATATATATATATATATATATATATATATATATATATATATATATATATATATATATATATATATATATATATATATATATATATATATATATATATGATGGTTAGCAGTATACAATTTAACAAAAGTTAGCCAAAACTGTACTTCAAATATGAATACTGTACAATGATTCACGTTTAACAGCCATTAGAATGATTAAATCATTGCAATTGTTGGTAAGAACAAGGATTCTATATTCTAGGTACAGTACTGTAGGTACTCCTGGAGTCTGAGAGGATGGTTCACTTATGTTAAATTTTTAGCCTACCACGACTGTGGAGTCGTCATGCGGCCGTTGGGTATACAGTACCTGTAAAACCCATGAAAAGGGCCATGATGCCGTTGTAGATATCGAGGAATAATTTCTCAAAACAACACATTGAATATTTTGCAGTAAAATAATATTATTTGCCAACGTGCGGGAAGATTCTCCCTTCAGTTCTTCAGTAAGAGCGCTGGTGGTAGGTATAGCTTTACAACATTTAATATTAAAAAAAATATATTTTTTGGCTTATATCTTGACCATTAATCGGCTTATTAGCCGCTTGGGCGATCGGTCACGTCTCTGTTACGCACTGTTGGCAAGTAATGGGCATACACTGGCTCCTGATGTACTGCGCACATCATTGTCATTCCTAAAAACCCCATTTTTAATTCATATTACGCTATATAACATTCAAATGCACCGCGCTTGTAGAACCTCAGAAAACGGGAAACATTGATAAAGGACAACTTACCTACTCAATGTTCCTAGACCATGTGTTGTATTGTACCCAGGTACAGCTATATCATATTAAGTGTATGTATTCATAGCATTAAGGAGAACTCGGGGTATGCATAAGATGAATGTTAAAGTCCAGTTGAGCCGGACTAGTGTACTGTAAGACTAAGTGTGGATCAGGGTTTGAAGGTCACACTATTTACGTCTGTGAGCGTGTAGCGAACATAACTTCCACAGATATCATATGAAAATACATGAGAACAATGATCTGGAAAAAGGATAAATGTATCAGAACTATGTGAGGTGTTGGAAGTGATCCAGAAACTATACTTGAAAGGAAATATCTTGTATGCGTCGGTATGAACTTAATACACCTCGTATCCTCACGTGACATATACCCACGACAGGTACAGTGATCAGAGAATCTTATGTCTGTGTTCAAATAGTGCAATGTGTGAGAGGAGGATCCCTCATTACAGTTTTAAGTGAAGTTGATACACCCCCGCCATGAACATTCAGCCTTTGTTTCAAGGCGCGTCATGTACCCGCCTCGGATGCCACGTTGACATTATAACCCCATGAATTTACCCAAGAACTAGCAAACCAAGACCTTACCTTAGTGTGTAATTTAGGATTAAAATATGTGTTTATAAGGCATGAGTGACAATATACCGAAAAGTGTTCAGGTGAGAACCATAAGAAACAAAAGTGCAGATTAAAGATTGGAAACTGTAGGCCTATGTGATGAGGAGCGGCGGGGCAATGCCCTCAGTCTTCCTCGTTCTACCGTCACCTCAGGTCAGTGTCCTAGCGGGCTATATCCCGCCCTATAATTAAAGTTTATAAATAGAAGTCATTACAGTTTAAAGCTTTGCCGGATATATAAGTGTGGAGTGGACGTCTCCCCTACAACTGCGTATCGCATTCCAATGTGCCGCCTCCCCGAGCAACCAAGCGAGAGCTGTCCCCAGATGTTACCGTATCATAGCAACGGAACCAGTCACCGGCGACTTTCTGGGTTTTCCCAACATGACTCATAGCGGCTGCTGCTGGGTATATAAGCTCTGTCTCTCCATTGAGATTCATTCTGACCATTCTTCTTGAACAAGCAACACCTCCTCCTCCGCCGCTGCCTGGCTGCCTTAGCTCCTCCTCGCCTGCCTGGCGGTCCTCGCTCCCGCCAGCGAGCATGGCGACCCACCAGCTGTCCTTCTCTGAGCTTCCTCACCAACCAACTCTCATTCTGCCCATCTTCCTGAACAAGCAACACCTCCTCCAGCAAGCTCCACGCTGTTAACAATTATTCAACCAGGAGGCCAATAACAGGCAACATCTTCTCTAACGAAGCTCCTGCACATCTACCTCCTTCAACACGCTACTCACCGAACGTCTTCTACTGAGCAGCTCCCCACCACACGGCATCTCCAGCACCAGACTGTCTATCATATAACTTATATATTATACAAGAAAACCACATTAGAGTTTCCTTCCATCCTGAGTGCTAGACAACTTTAATATATCGATACCCCCACAATGGTGACTCCCGGAGATTAGCACTCACACAGGATGGAGGAGACACTGATCACGCTCCCAGGCTTCAAGCAAACACCAGCTCCTCTTCCTGCCTCACGCACCACATTCTGACGACCCCAGCACACCCGTCCTGCCTCAGACGCCGACCCCGGCCCAGCAGTACCTGCCGTGAGGGAAGCACACAACATCCATCGCCTCCATACCCCCTCTTTTCTCCCTCAGGTACTCCCTGCTAATGTCCTGCACCCTGCTGCTGTCGTGGACCCAGCTGCTGTCACGAGCCCTAATCCGCTTCTGCTGACCCAGCCCCTGCTCCTGATCCAGGCCCACACACACCCCAGCAGGCGCATCTGACGACCCTGTACCTGTCGTGAGGGAAGCACAACATTCATCGCCTCCACACACCCTTTTTCTCCCTTCTCCCACAGATCGTGTGTATCTAGACAGTTGTATTTCAGCGATCGGCTCATCACGCCATCGCCGTTGTCTCACATGAGGCATGCACCGCCCGGTCTGCCTCACATGTGCTAAGCAACTCTACAGACAACAAGTCTCCTACACCGCCTGGAGGGAAGGGGGAGTATTGTAGTGGACGTCTCCCCTACAACTGCGTATCGCATTCCAATGTGCCGCCTCCCCTAGCAACCAAGCGAGAGCTGTCCCCAGATGTTACCGTATCTTAGCAACGGAACCAGTCACCGGCGACTTTCTGGGTTTTCCCAACATGACTCATAGCGGCTGCTGCTGGGTATATAAGCTCTGTCTCTCCATTGAGATTCATTCTGACCATTCTTCTTGAACAAGCAACACCTCCTCCTCCGCCGCTGCCTGGCTGCCTTAGCTCCTCGCCTGCCTGGCGGTCCTCGCTCCCGCCAGCGAGCATGGCGACCCACCAGCTGTCCTTCTCTGAGCTTCCTCACCAACCAACTCTCATTCTGCCCATCTTCCTGAACAAGCAACACCTTCTCCAGCAAGCTCCACGCTGTTAACAATTATTCAACCAGGAGGCCAGTAACAGGCAACATCTTCTCTAACGAAGCTCCTGCACATCTACCTCCTTCAACACGCTACTCACCGAACGTCTTCTACTGAGCAGCTCCCCACCACACGGCATCTCCAGCACCAGACTGTCTATCATATAACTTATATATTATACAAGAAAACCACATTAGCGTTTCCTTCCATCCTGAGTGCTAGACAACTTTAATATATCGATACCCCCACAAGTGTAATAGGAATGTGTTAAGGGGTGGGATAACCGCCCGTCAGGCATTATTTCTGAGTCTTCCTCGTTCTACCGTCACCTCAGGTTCCAAACTGTCGGAGTACCTTGCCGCCCGGCCGCCATTATCCCTTTGAGCGTCACGACAGGTGGTGACTACTCCCCGCTATGCCAATCCACTGTGAACCTGTGGATTTCCAGCGCACCACTCCAAATGAATAGTCACAAATAAGGAGACCGTGAGAAACTCTGCGGTCGTCACTTGGAGCGACCTATAATACCAGGCGTAGAAATAGTGCTGGTATGTCTCTAGGTGAAGCCCTCGTCTTTACCCACCGAGGGCGGTGTGCGAACGAGGTGCCTGTTGTGTATACCTAAAAGTCACAAGGAGTCCTATACTTGCAGGTATGGAGTGTACATGTGTGTTGAGATGGTGCTACTATGTATGATAACCGACGGTGCTATATTCCATACAGGTGGAGCAGTCTGATGTGTTAAGGGATAGTGTAAGAAGGAATGACCGAGGTAAGGTGGTCACAGATTGTTATGCAATAAGTAGGTGGATAACACGCCATCAATGTAAGAGTCTGGGGCCCATCTGGGTAACCACATTTCCGTTGTTCTTCTGAGGAAGGCCAATTCATGTATGTTTTTTACCAGTATGTTTTATAAGGAATAAATCAATTAAGACATGTTATGGTTTCACCCTTCTTTACCCTTATCGATCTGGTCAATGGAAAACCTAACCCAATGCCTAGTCCACTCTGCACGCTACCTAACGAGCTACATGCTGTCCAGAGGGGGTCTGGTGGCAGCTACCCTTAGAAATTAAGATTAGAGTTAAGTTATCCCCTTAGACTTAGTGACCCCAGAATCTGGCAGTATACTGAATGTACCTGAACTTGCCCCAGTGCTTGTCAAGTCTTGAAACAGCTCAAACTCGGTGGCGTCGCAACACTTTCTGGCAGAATGTTCCAAGAGTTAAGAAGAAAACACAGAAATTCAAGGCGTGGGTTACGTCAACGATGAACAGGACAGGAGGATGTATGCAAGAGCCAGAAACCAAGCAAAGTCAGAGTGTAGAAGGGCTGAAAAGGAGTTCCAGAGGCTGGGTGCAAGCGAGGTCAAGTCAAACCCAAAGGCGTTTTACCGCTTTGCAAAGTCGAAATTAAAAACGCGAACAGGAGTATTGGACCTGAGGCTTGAAGATGGTGTAATGACCACGGCCGTACACGTCAGTTATCGTAAAATCAGACGATTCAGGTTACGCTTAATAGCCCACAATACATGTAGCTATGCCTTCTTTATTGAGTCTCAA